GGGACACAGTGTCCTCAGGGGTCCAGGCGTGCAGGACAGGCAGCTGGCAAGACAGTGGGGGATTGGGTGCAGGGGTTTGGGGGCGGTGGGCACCGCGGGGGGGGGTTGGGGGGCAGAGGAAGAGTGGTTGCAGGTCCCCGGTCGAGAGGGTCCAATCCCCTCTGCCATGGCCAGAATCCCCCTGGGTCCCGCTGCGGGTCCGCATCCTGCACCAGGGCCAGATGCTGCGGGAAGTCCGCGCCAACATCACCGTGGAGGTAAAGCCGTCTGTTCCCTGACATGCCCCAGCAGCTGCGGTGCCCGCCATGCCAGGGCTGAGCCGTGCCTCCGTGCCCCCCCCCCCCCTTCCCCTGGCAGGACCCTGACTTCGCAGAGGTGCTGAGCGAGCTGTCTGCCCACGAGCTGCAGTGGCTGGTGCAGGGGCAGCTCCGCATCGTGGCTGAGACGGAGGGTCGGCATGCACGCCAGCTGGCGGGCACCATCACCACCCGCCGCAGCTGTGACAGTGAGCACGGGGCAGGCACCCCGGGATGCAGGGTGGGTGGCCGTGCTCCCCCATGCTAACCTCACACCCCGCTCCGTGCCTCTCTCCCTGGACTGAAGCCATCCAAAGTGTGCTGTGCGGAGCGGATGCCTTGCTACCAACCAAGACAGGGGCCGTGGGCTCAGCCAAGCTGGCCCTTCACGAGAATGGCACCCTGGAGTACCAGGTAAGCGGGGGGCACCCGTCTCCCTCCTGGGGGTCCCAGGGGTATCTCCCCTGCCAGCGCTGCCCCTTGGCACCCTTCCCGTAGGTGCAGGTGGTGGGCACCGCCAGCGAGGTCGTGGGCATCACACTGGAGACCAAACCCCGGCGGAAGAGCAAGAGGAATGTCCTGTTCGACATGACACCCAGCTACAAGGATGGGCTGGTGAGCACTGGGTGGCACTGGGGGGGATGGCACAGGGACCTTGGGCGAGTCCCCATCCCAACCCATGTGGTCTCCTGCCGACGGCAGGCCCGGGGCACCTGGCAGAGCCCCAGCGCCCGTGATGCCCACATGCTGCTGCAGAACGAGCTCTTCCTCAATGTGGCCACCAAGGACTGGGCGGAGGGCGAGCTGCGGGGCCAGGTCATCTCCCTGCCCTACAGCGGGCTGCTCGCCCGCTACACAGGTACCTGGGGGGCACCAGGGATGGCGGTGGAGGTGGTGGGGCAGCCCCCCCGCCTGCCACCTCCCATGGCCCCTGTCTCTGCTCAGAGATGCCCGTGGCGCTGGCGGGGCAGCTGGTGTCCCCCCCGGTGGGCAGCGGCGCCGGGGGGCATGCCTGGCTCTCGCTGGATGAGCACTGTCACCTGCACTACGAGATCTCGGTGGCAGGGCTGGGCCGCCCGGCCGACAGCACCGTCAGCGCCCACCTCCATGGGGTGGCTGAGCTGGGCGAGATGGGCACCCGTCCCCACCAGCACAAGCGCCTGCTCAAGGGTTTCTACAGCACCGAGGTGAGGCGGGCACCCAGTCGGGGCACCCCACACTGGGGACCAGGCCAGCCCTCATGCCCCCGCTGGTGCCCCTCTCGCCCTGGCAGGCTCAGGGGGTGGTGAAGGACCTGGACGCCGACCTGCTGCAGCACCTGGCCCAGGGCACTGCTTTCCTGCAAGTCAGCACCAAAGCCCACCCCCATGGGGAGATGCGGGGACGGGTAGGTCCCCACCTGGGCAGGGCACCCCTACCCATCCCCACCACTGCCTGGGGTCTCCAGCCAGGTGACACTGCCCAGAGCAGGGTGGGAAGGGGACAGGATCGGGGGCACTTTGTGAGACGGTCCCGGCAGCCTGGCGTGGTGTGTACTGTGGTCATGGGTGCTTCCTCCACCAGCCCTGACCATGGAGGGCAGCTGGGTATGCGCATGGGAAGCGGGGTCCCCCGGCGGTGCCAACCCCTCCTGCTCCATGCCCCCATCCAGGTGCACATCCCCAACCGGTGCTATGCAGGAGGGACCCGCCTGGCCCCAGGGGAGGCCGAGCTCTCCGAGGGCACCAAGCCCAGGGACCTGGAGCAGCTGAAGAAGGACCCCAACTCCTGCTTCTTTGAGGGGCAGCACCGGGCGCACGGCACCCGCTGGGCACCCGACTACGACAAGAAGTGCTCCATCTGCAGCTGCCAGGTACGGGCTGGGCGGGGGGGGGAAGCTGGGGGGCAGCACCCATCAGCGGTGCCCACCCTGTAATGAACCCCGTACCTACTGCCCCCAGAAGCGTACGGTGATCTGTGACCCCATCCTGTGCCAGCCCCTCAACTGTACCCGCCAGGTGCACCCCGAGGAGCTGTGCTGCCCCATCTGCGAAGGTACCTGGGGGCTGGGGGGGTCCTGAGTGGGGGGCTGGAGGAGCAGGGGGGTTCCCCATGGG